CTATGCCATTCTATAGTTCACTGATCTATGTCCCATAGTGAACTATACCTATTGTTTGATATTACTATGCTGCTGTGACCATTCTTGTGTACACCTCCCTGTGCTCACATGGAAGCATCTCTTGGCATACACCTGGGAATAGGATTGCTGGGTCACACGTGCACTATGCTCTCCAACATGGTAGGTGAACCTATACTCCCGTTCCAATATGATTTCCTGACTCTCTACATGCTTGTCATACTTGGCATTTTCACTCTTTTATAACAGTTGCCTATCTGAAGGGTGTGAAATATCACTCTTATCTTGATTAGCAGTTCTCTGATTACCAGTGGGGTTGAACATCTTTTCTGTAAGAGGCTTATAAGTGGTCACGTTGTGATATGATAAGAAAACGCATATTTGGTCTCTACCCCTGTTCCTGACATGGAGCTCCTGAAACTCTTACAGATAGGGACTCTAGGAGTCTTTGGTCTAATCTTTGGTCTTTGACCCTGGTTCCTGACACAGAGCCCTTAAATACCTTGGAATTTCCTGGGCGACAGGATCATCTTTTGTTCTAATGAGGCAACTCTCAGTGGGCTTCTAGATGGCCTCAGGACAGGGAAACAACCATGCAATTAAAGGTATGACACTTGTCAAAATCAAAACGAAGTCACTTGTTGTAACCTTTACCAGCAACTGTCTGTTTAAACTATGGACTGACATCACTCTGGTTATTAATCATTGTTGCAAAGGATTATTGTTTCAAAATATCTGATGTAATCCTCATTTTTGCCTTTAAAACTTTCCCTTGCCTCATCATCCTCTTTGTAAATGGTCATGTTTATTTACTATGACATACATATTCCTGTTGCAGTGTTCTGCTATTCCTAAATAAGTATCATTATTCTTTGGAGACTAGCTCTCTGATCTCTCTGATTATTTTTATTTATTTATTTAGTTTTAGCAGTACCAGGGTTTGATCTCAGGGCCTTGTGCTTGCTAGGCAGGCTCTCTTATCATTTGAGCCACTCCAGCAGTCATCAAGCCAAAATAAATCTCCAAGATGCTTCAGCTAAACATCTGACCATGGCCCTTAATTTTGCCTCCCTTTACTAACCAAATGTGGCCTATGACATTTTGAAGCAAACCCTAAAATGCTCATTCAGTAATTAAATTTTATCACCTCCAGACCGTTTGAAAATCTAACTGCATAGTTCAGAACTATTGTGAATGTGTGTGTATCCTTCTGTTATCGGAGGAGGGGTGAAGGGGCTCCCACAGCTTCCATTTTGCATGCAAAATCACAAGTTCTTGAGATCCACAAACGTGAAAAGCATTTCAAGGTGTCTTGCAACACCTTGTACTTATTTTAGTGTAACAGGATAAAATAGGGAGAAATTGGGGGCAGGTGAAGAAAGAGAAACATTTCTTGCTCCCCAAGTAGGAAATGGGAGTACAGATTCCTCTGTTTATTTTTTTGTTGTTTGTTTGTTTTGTTTTGTTTTAGCTTGACAGAAGTTTGGAACTTTCAGCTCCAACCTTCGAAACTCAGCAAGGGAAAGGGGCTGAAGGTTAAGTTGATCTCTGATGGCCAATGAGTCAATCAATCAAGCTAATGCAATGGAGCCTTCATAAAACCCCCAAAAGACTGGGTTTCAAGGTCTCTAGGTAGCTGAACACATGGAGTTACCTGGAGGGTGGTGCACCCAGAGAGTAATGGAAACTCCTCACCCATTCCACATATGAGCCCTGTGCATCTCTTCCATTTGGCTGTTCATCTGTATTTTTGGTAATATCCTTTATAACAAAACAGGTCAATGTGTTTCGCTGAGTTCTGTGAACTGCCTAGGAAAATTAATGAAAACCCAAAGAGGGGCCATGAGAACCCCGACTTATAGCTAGTTGGTCAGAATTACAGGTGACATCCTAGTACTTGTGATCAGCATCTGAAGTGAGGCAGGTTTTTGTGGGACTGAGCTTTTAACTTGTGGGAGCTGAGTCCAGATAGACTATGTCCGAGTTGAATTGAATTATGGGACACCCAGTTGGCGTTCATTGGAGAACTGCTTGGTGTTGGGGGAAAACTGCCATACAACCAGTGTCAGACATGTACTGTGTGGTATTGAGTTTGGAGAGAGAGAGAAAGAACAATTTGCTTTTGCCAGCAGACATCAGTTCTTTGAATCTGTGTTCCCCTCAGCTATCCTTCCTATCAGTTGAGCCATCCACAGACTCTTCTCTGACTTCCCAAAGAGCTAGAGACAATTAATGAGCTCTGCATGCCCAGATACTCTCACATACATGAGGGAATAAAAACCACCAGGCAGTTGCCAACAAAGCAAAAATAGGATTTAGAAGAGAGAGGGGTGAGGGGAAAGAAGAGAGAGAGACAGATAAAAATCCAGACTGGGACCTGTTGAGACTGGGGTCTCATTTTTACATTTTTCAGGTAAATTCATTTGTCGGCAGCTAGTAAAGAGGTCAGATCTGACAGTTCCTCCTTCGGCAAGCTGGCTTACCCCACCAAAAAACAACTCTAGCTATGTGTGGATTCTCTGGGACACCTTGAGAGCTTAGCTGAGTTCCCCTGCAAGGCTGATTACGTCCTCCTTCAGTACCTCACCCTAGTTAGTTTTGTTAGCCATTCCCTATGAATTTGCTCAGCCTTTTCTAGTGTGTTGGCAGAAAGCTCACAAACATTTTCCAAGTGCTCTTTGTGAGATCTGACCAGTATTACTACTTGTCTAGCCTTCTCTGAAGCCAGACCCAAGGGAACTCTCTGCCCCAGTCTCTCCAAACCACTGTGAGTTCCCAAACTCAGAAAGCCATTTGACAGCCCTGGGCCTTTCCTGACAATTTCCTTTCTCCTCACTAGATTTTGTGCCCTGCCCCCACAAGGGGACATTTGGCAATGTCTGGAGGTATTCTTAGTTGTCACAATGGTGGTGGGGGTGCAACTGGCCTCAAGTGGCTAGAGGCCAGGTGTGCTGCTAAATATCCTACATGCACAGGACAGTTCCCTCCCCAAAACAAAGACTGGTCTGGCCTCAAATATCAGTGGTGCTGAGGCTGAGAGGCTCTGCCCTCCTTTGCTTCTCGAAGCTCCTCTGGCAATGTACAGATGCAGTTATGATCATGGCACACCTGTCTGCCTGCCTGCCTAGCATGCAGGTTCCCTGAGAGAAAAAGACTGTGGTGTAGCTACTTGGAGTGGAAGGCACACAAATATTTGCTGAATAAATGAATGAGCAAGTCATGGGTGCCTATCACAAATTACTCAAGGGGACACCTGGGGAGGAGGATAGGCAGGCATGAGGCATCCAGAAACCATCACACCGATTCAAAGAGCTAACAGGGAAATATTTTTCCATATTTGGAAGTTTTATAACCACACTCCCCTAGCACTTTATGATGAGTTTTAAAGACAGGGAGTAAGTGTCAATATAAATATTGGAAATTTACCGTGCGGCCAGAACTTTTTTTATTTTGAGAGGGTCTCACCCAGGGTGGCCTTGAACTTCCTGCCTTAGCCTCCTGAGTGCTGGGATTACAGCTTGTGCTAGGCACGAGTCAATGTGGTCCTCACAATGACTTCATGAGGTGGAATTATTAGTGTTGCAGGAAGTTGCTCTCTGAGATATGGGACTCTTGAGGCAATTAGCAGGAAGCAACGTTTTATTGTGCCAGCACAGACTCAGTGGACTTGTGTCCAAAGGCTGAGCTCTGAGAACAAAGGGGTCTCACCTTATATACCCTTGCAAGCAGGTTACAGAAGCAAAAAGCAAGGTCTAGTCCTTATATGGTTATATTTAATTTCATTGGCCACTTTATCCTAGTGCGTGACTTTCCCCTCCCCAGTGCTACATGACCTTCCTCATGTTCAGATTTCTCATGTTTTATCTCTCTGCTATAACATCCCTACCTCCCTGCTACTTTCTCAGGTCTCAGGCCTAGTCTGTTTTCTTCTGATTCTCCTCCCTGCTACATTAATACTTAATTCAAGAATGAGGAAGGAACGAGAAGCAATGAGAGGTGAAGGTAACTTGCCCAAAGCATCAGAGCTGGCAGGGGTGGCACTGCACGGTGGGTTCTTGGGGGCAGGTGTGAGAGTCCATTGTAAAAAGAATCTTTTTGTAATTTCATTCTCAAAAGAGCCAAGCACTTGCACAATGACAGGCTTTGGTTTGTATCATATTTATTTTATTTTATTGTATAGGCATGAGTTTCTAATAGAAAGGAGAAACACCTAGATTTGAAACTTTAGTCACATGTCACATCAGGGGCAAATGAGTTCTCATTTTTGTCTGCAATATCTCAGCATAAATTACAACTGCAGTAACGAGAGCTTGGCAAAAGCAGCACCCGGGGCTGGGGAAAGTAATGCATTTGTCTCAGTGCAGGGGCTGAATGTGAAGCTAAATGTTCTTAGGGAGAAATATGCCGAACCTTTGATGGATGTGCTAATCTTCTCAGGCCAGCATGGGCTCACCCTGGCAACACACTGTCATAACTTATTTAAAAGGCTGCTGGCTTCTATAAATGGACAGCTCCATCAATTTTTTGATTTTCATTCTCAGAGATGTATTCTCTTATTGAAACAATATTTACTATATATAAGAGCTCAGTCATGACTTTCTACAACAAAGGAGTCTGTAGAAGTGACCAAATTTGGCTCTCAATTCTGCAGGACATTTAGCTGTGCAGTAAAAGTGAAATACCAATAATGTCAGATTTTTCACTCCATTAGAGCAGCAGTTGGCATACTATCACCTGTAGACCAAATCCAGTCCATAGCCTGTTTTTTTTATAAAGTTTTATTGAGACCCAGCCATGCCCATTTGTTTACTTACCATCTATGCTTTCACACAGTAAGGCCAGGGTTGGTTAGTCATGACATAGACCACGTGGCCTACAAAGCCAAAAGAATTTACTCCCTGGCTCTTTACAGAGCATGCAGGCCCACCTCCGCGTTAGCAACAAGTGGGATTTGTCTCGCTACAGGTTTGCATGGTTTTCAGTGGGGCTACAGGAGTCACAGAACATCTGGCTTATTTAAGACTTACGTATGTTTAGGCGGGTTAAAGAAAGAAGGAAACAAAAAGGCAAAACGCTAGGCACTATCTCTGGAAGAACTTTAATGAATAGTCGTACTGACATCAGAAATGGGTAGAATGTATACCAAATTATTACGGCACGTCAAGGGAAAATTTCTCATGTTGGCAACAGTATACATCCTGCTGACAGAATTCTAAGCGGCTGACATATTCCGTCCACCCCATAAGGGGCCCGCTGGGACTTTGGTGAACATGTTTATATCTCAGTACAGAGCCCTCTTTCCCCGAGAAATGCACAAGAGAGATAGAAACACCATACCTAAAAGGAAGGGGGTGAGATGGGGACCCTGTGCCCAGGGCTCAGAACTTCAGAGGAATGACAGGCCAGTACTTGGGCTGCTTTCTGTCACAGTGCTTGTTAAAGCTCAGCTGCACTGCGGCCTCCATCGCCTGGATTTTGGCGGCGCTGTCACCGTACAAGCGCTTCATCTCAGCCTGGCGCCGCTCGCCGGGCCTCTCACTTGGGGGCTCCACTGTGCGGTGAGTGTTGTAGTACAGGCCATGGTCAGCATTTATGTAGTCCTCCAGGCGCTCTGCGTCCAGCTGCTGCTGCCGCCTGGAAACAGACATGAACATGATCACACATGCATACGTAGGGCAGGAGACAGGTACAGTGAGTGCTGCTGCAGTCCCTAAAGCCCCCCAGCTTTCCTTCCCAACGTGGAATCAGCCCTACTATGCTAGCTGAGATGCTCTCCTGACCCCGAGGATTCTAGACACTGAAAGAAATGCCAAACCACAAGGAAACCTGTCACTCCAATCCACCAAACCTCTCAGCTTGCACCCTGAAAGTACAGGAGAAAAGTGAAACCACCTGGGTTCCCCGTCATCTGCCTACCACAAGTGGCTGATGGCGCTTTGCCTGCTTTCAAGCATGGGAATGAGAGGCTTCCTGGAAAGTCCAGTGCTGCAAGAACTGTATTTACCACACAAATGAGGTGTGTGTGGTGTGGGTCACCCTTCTGAAAGAGGTATTGATGATAAGCTGAAAAAAGATTAAGCCCTCCTAAGTATAGACTGCAACTGTGAGCTATGATGCTTCCACAGTGCAAAAACACAAATCATACCAGTGTATGAAAGGTTAAATGATTTGATATTTACTGAAGGTAAAGGGCCAAGACATGCAATTCACAGCTGGAAAGAAGACCCCTGCCTGCTGATCTTTCTGCTCTATCAACAAATCTGAAACTGGGGTAGGGGGGAGGTTTTTGGTTTTCCTCACTGTGGGATTTCACTTGCCACTGCACAGGTTAGCCTAGATGAAACTGCAAATGTAAATCCTATTTAAAGGGATTCCTGTAAAGCAAGAAATCTTTATTTATTTTTCCCTATTTCTTTTTCACTAGAGCAAGTCCCCAACATCAGTTTTTTATTCTTTATGTAATAGCAACATAAAAATGTCAGCAAAAACAATGCTGCAGAAGGTAAAATTTAGCCAACTCAACATAGATTTTGTGACTGTCAAGGAGAAACTGATAGAAAGCAACATAGCTGTAGCTACTATGGCTACAAGAGAAATGCCACTAGATAAGGAGTGAAGAGGGTTGTAGGAGAATAAAACAATATATAAATCATTCCTTCCTTGTTGGTCCTCTTATCAGTCTCTGGAAAGGGAGCGCAGCAGTGAGCTAATCATGTGTGAAGGGAAGATGCTTATATGGTTATGTACAGCCACTCTCATAAATTCTCTTCTTTACAACTACCACCTTAGAGATGGAGGGAAGGAGTTTTTACAAACTTGGAAACGTCGTTAAAAATGATATGGTACATGTATGTGACACTGCTGTCTGAGAACATCTGCAGTTATTTTTTTTTACATCTGCAGTTTAGTTTTAACATATGGAAGTAATATAAATGGTTAACGCTAACACGTCTGCCAAACACCTATAAATGCCCTACACAGCTGTTACGCGAATGTGACATATCATACACTCATGATTGCATAGATTGTCTATCGCCAGGACTACAGACAATAACATAATCTTTGATATCTAATAGGCAACGTAATTGGAGGGCTCACAGCAGCACTGGCTGCTTAAATTTAGATCTGCCAGGTTTACAAACACAGTATTTAAGCTGTTCATCCCTTCCCCCAACTGATTCTGCTGGAGCAGAGCATGCAGTGATGCTAATAGGTCCAAATTAGCTAGAGGAAAATGACCATTTCTAGACACCTTTTTCTGATTCCAAACTAACTTCTAGGCAGACGTAAAAAAAACTTGAAGTAAAATCGAGAAAAGCAAGTTTCTTCTGTTGCATATAGTTGTGTCTTATTTTCCTCAAGATCCATGGCTTCCTGGGTGCATGAGCGTTGGGTGGAAGCCTGCTGGGGCCAACGCGAACCTCTCCCTGTTGCATCCCTTTTTTCCGCTCTGTCCTGCGATGATTTCAACTCTGTCTTCAAGTAGGTTTGGAAGGAAAGCACTATCCTTGCTTAGTGTTGCAAAAGAGGATAACTGACTTCGGTAACTCTTTATAGAATAGATCGCCCTAGCCTTAAAGCATTTTTACAGATCTTATGTAAGATAGTGTGTCTCAGTCTAACAATCTTCCACTATGGCCGTATTCAGTATGTACAGCCTTTCACACTTAGCTTCTACCCAAAGTCTCGAAACAAATTCAGCTACTTCCTAAGAACCCTGTCAGTCTGGGGTGGGGCTGATGGCTGCGACTCTGGTCTGCCATTAAAGCCTGAACAGTAGTGACTGACACTACAGTCATCTACTCAGGCCTCCTATGAAGCTGACATTCCCAGCCATTAGCAAAAATAGTACTCCCTCTTGCCACATTCTCAAGCAGCACCAGGGCACCATTATTGATGCCCTGCTCTTTTTCATATCTTCGGAGGAGGACAATCCCATAGTACTGCTGCTGGGGATGCTTTAAAGCTGCCATCCAGAAGGCAGGCCTCAGATGAAGTTTCTGTGGGTCAGTTGTCGTCATTACGTCTCAAATTTGTCCCAGACTATTTAATCGCTCTCATGACAGACTTCAGTGACACAAACCCAGATGTTCAACATTGTGTCTAAATCTAAGTCCCTGAGTTTAGAAGTTTTAACAAACACTGGATTTTTTTTTTTTTTGGTGTTTATTTATTTTTTTTTTCATTTTTCTTTTTTTATTCATATGTGCATACAAGGCTTGGTTATTTCTCCCCCCTGCCCCCACCCCTCCCTTACCACCCACTCCACCCCTCCCTCTCCCCCCTCAATACCCAGCAGAAACTATTTTGCCCTTATCTCTAATTTTGTTGTAGAGAGAGTATAAGCAATAATAGGAAGGAACAAGGGGTTTTGCTGGTTGAGATAAGGATAGCTATACAGGGCATTGACTCACATTGATTTCCTGTGCGTGGGTGTTACCTTCTAGGTTAATTCTTTTTAATCTAACCTTTTCTCTAGTTCCTGGTCCCTTTTCCTATTGGCCTCAGTTGCTTTAAGGTATCTGCTTTAGTTTCTCTGCATTAAGGGCAACAAATGCTAGCTAGTTTTTTAGGTGTCTTACCTATCCTCACCCCTCCCTTGTGTGCTCTCGCTTTTATCATGTGCTCATAGTCCAATCCCCTTGTGTGTGTTTGCCCTTGATCTAATGTCCACATATGGGGAGAACATACGATTTTTGGTCTTTGAGCCAGGCTAACCTCACTCAGAATGATGTTCTCCAATTCCATCCATTTACCAGCGAATGATAACATTTCGTTCTTCTTCATGGCTGCATAAAATTCCATTGTGTATAGATACCACATTTTCTTAATCCATTCGTCAGTGGCTGGGGCATCTTGGCTGTTTCCATAACTTGGCTATTGTGAATAGTGCCGCAATAAACATGGGTGTGCAGGTGCCTCTGGAGTTACAGTCTTTTGGGTATATCCCCAAGAGTGGTATTGCTGGATCAAATGGTAGATCGATGTCCAGCTTTTTAAGTAGCCTCCAAATTTTTTTCCAGCGTGGTTGTACTAGTCTACATTCCCACCAACAGTGTAAGAGGGTTCCTTTTTCCCCGCATCCTCGCCAACACCTGTTGTTGGTGTGTTGCTGATGATGGCTATTCTAACAGGGGTGAGGTGGATCTTAGTGTGGTTTAATTTTGCATTTCCTTTATTGAAAAACACTGGGATCTAGCTATTCTTAAAAAAGCACGTTCTTCTGCTGTTAGGATGAGGATTTAACCTTTCTAAATCTTTATTCTCTTTCTCTACATGTATTAATGTGTATTAATTATGCTTCTTTTATATTCTTCTGACAAAAATGAAATGATATACATAAATAGGTAAAACAATTAATGTTGCCATCTATGAATAAAACTCGCTGTAAAACAGGAAGCTTACCCAGGCATCAGTCAAGGAAGCCTGTGCTGATTCTCACGTTCATATTCAGGATTTGGCTTACAGGATCTTAGTTCTTAGTAAAGTTCACAGTGAAAGAATCAAATAGAAGACACAGCCTTGTGTGTGTCTCTATTCTCAATTTGTATTTCGTTTCTTTTCAGCTTCGTGAAAATTTAAGGTCAAATCCTTGTCTCTTCCCTGCCTTTCAGGAGATTTGGAGGGTTCATGGTTTCCTGCATAGTAGTTACCTCTGTAAAACACTGATCTGAAGTGTGATCCACTCTGAGGGCCATCTATAGGAAAAGGATCACATCACCTTTACTCACTGGTATATCCTCAGGCCTGGAAGGACACCAGGCCTGACACCAAGGGGGTGCTCAGGAAGAGATTGTCCAATGACTGCTTGGACAAAAGTCATACAGTACTTTTTTGTAAACAACGCTTTTCCTTCTAGATGCTGTTAAAGAAAAACAAAGACAACCAGGAAGATAACACAATAATACTACAATAGTCCATTGGGAATGTCGTTCTCCCTGACCCTTGGGACACTGAAGAGTTTGGGTGACGCGCTGCCGTTACCTCTTACATTTCAAAGTTGCTTTGCCTGTACTTACTCAAGGCGGTGTTCGAAGGTTACATTATAAATTTGAAAAAGAGTCAGTTTAAAACCAAATATCCTCAGACTGGCTATATGTTGAAGGTCACAGATAGTATCTGAAAGTATGTCCAGCACCTATCACCTTCTGGGACCAAGTAAATCTTAGAATGGAACATCCCAGTGAAGTGAAGGCCTCCACTTACACCACCTCGTCTATTTATGCTTCTCCTCACCTTTCTCATTGAAGAAAAGGGTCTTCAATCACCCGCACCAATTTCTTCCTGTCACCGCTTGGATCAGCACACCATGGTAGAAGAACCATCTACTGAAGCTGGGAAGCACGAATATCACACTTCAGACATGACGGAATAGTTGCCTTGCATGGATGCTTGGACTATTTTTATTAAAAATAGCTGTAGAACCCAATGTTTTCAAGCAATTTTTTTCCTTATAGAGTTGTGATAGTTAATCTTTTTTATTTTTATTTTTTATTTTTAGCAGTACTGGGGTTTGAACTCAGGGCCTTGCACTAGTTAGGCAGGGGCTCTACCACTTAGGCCATTGCCTCCAGGTCTTTCTGTTTTAGGCTGTTTTTCAGATAGGGTCACATGCTTTTTGCCTGGGGGACCCC